TGTAGATAATTTTACTTTTATAAAAACAGAACCATTGTGGTTAAGATTTAGATCTTGGTCCTTCTCTTCTGATAGTAAGCTGTATGAAATCTGGCAACTTACTTAACCTCTCTGATTTTCAGTTTCCGTATCTTAAAAATGGATAGAAATTCGTACTCAACTCATAGTGTTGGAGTGGAGATTAAATAAGGTCAAAACTCAATCCTTATAAGTAAAATCTCCATAAATGATGGCTTTTATTATTTTCTGATATATTTCAAAACAGTCCTTTGAGTTAGACAAGATAAGTCATATTTACTATTTCTGTTTTACAAAGGAGAAAATTGAAGCGCAATGACTTGCCCAAGTTCACAGAGCTGGCAAGAAACAAAGCAGAGACCAATATCCAGGTCTTCTCACACCTTATCCAGTTTTCATTACTAAACTATAATACGTCTTAAGAAAGAGAAAGCAAACTCTTACTGTATAGAAAATTAATTATCAAAATTTTGGGATAACGTCTCTGCAGACTATTTTACAAACTGTGACCAAGTTACAATGCTTTTAAAACTTTATATTTGTTCAGGAAGAAATAATTTTCTTGTCATTAATGTTGTTTGGAAAGAAACTCACCTCCAAAATCTCAAACATCATCATATTTAAAAACTGCATCTTTAATCACAAGTTACATATATTGTCACACTCATTTTTTCAATAGAAGAAACTATGTCCCGACAAAGTCATACGCAGTTAAGTCACAAAGAGGACACGGCACTATAACCAGAAACCAGGTCTCTTGCAATCTAACATAAAATGGAACAATTTTAAGGCTAGAAATAACAGTGCGCACAGATTACTTAAATTCATTCTGGCTTGGCATGCTTGGGGTAGGATTCCCTGAATCCCTAGCTGTCATATAGATATGCAAAATATTCCAATTCAGAGCACACCCCACATCTGCTGTTAAAACCACTTAAACTTCCATTTCTACTGACAACCCACTAGCTAACAGGGTAACTGTATTCTGCACATTATTGAAGTTCATTTCAGGGCCATTCTCTCTCATTGATATCATATACAAAGTATTTAATTGTACCTGCATGTTAAGGATAAGAAGAACACCAGAGCTTAGAAAGGTCTCCTTCTGACACCCCTTTACTTTCTAAGAGATCTGGAGGCAAGTGCTTATCTTCACAATTCTGATGTGACCGGTTTATTTGTAGACTGACTCTTCAAAGTCATATGTGGGTCTAGTGCGAATTATCTGGCTCTATAGTTGCCACTGTAGACAGAGATCTTCCTAGTCAAGCAAGATGGCTAGGGTGGAACAAAGGGTGCCTTGAATACAGAAGAGCTTGAAAGAAAATTTGGTGTAGAAAACTTTTACCTTGGCTATTTTTCCAAGCCTCCATTCTTCTACCCCTCACCATTGTGTTCAGTGTCCTGGTACCTTGTACAAGTAACTTAACCTTTGTTCTCCAGGTTTTTAACCTATGAAATGTGAATAGCCACAGTGATATCTCCTTCACAGGTTTATAGTAAGGTTCAAAGAAGTTTAATCCATAAAGCATTCAGAACTGTACCTGACACATCTCAAACAACACCTGAACATTTGTTGTTGTTTCTGCTGCTGCTTCTCTTGTGGTTTTGTTATTACAAGCCTTACCTTGGACACTCCAGTACAATAACCAGACTGCACTTCTTTTATAATCTAATGGATTTTCTGCCTAATGACACAAGAAATTAGCTAAACCATGATATAGTTGGAAGAACGAGGCCTTTGGAGTTAGATAAGCTTTGGTTTAAGCCTGGACTTAGTGTTGTTAAATAACAGTCTGGCTTTCTTTATGCATAACATTTTATTGGGCTCCAACCAGCTGAAATCCATTCATGGACTTTATAAGGAAACAGAGACACCAGGTTAAGAATCTCTAATCTGAGCAGTAAAGTAGAAATGGGAATAGAGACAGGGACAGAATCAGTAATGAATTAAAATAGATTAAAAAGTATTAAGGAGATATTTAGTTCCTTAATTTCCTAACTCTCCTTGAATCCTCTGGAGCCTCTCTTTTGTCTATTGTAATTTAAAGATTAATTATTATTTCCATAATATTGATCAGTTTGTACTTGGACAGTAAACCAATATTTATTGAATATCGATTAGTCTGCACAAGGTACATACCTCTCTGTTAAATACAAGGAAATTTACAATAACTCGTCAATCAATTAATCAGCAAATATAGACTGAGGAAGACTGTGGGAGGAAGTGTTAATAGCACGCCCTATGGAAGACACCAAGAAATGCAAAGTATGACGTGAAGGGCATAGCCTCAATGGAAATATGCTGCATAAGGAGATACAGCATAAACTATAGATTTCTGTAATAATATTTTAGTATTAGCATACCAGAAAAGCTATAATGCATAATTTCCAGCCAAAATAAAATATGATGTAATTAGAATAATTGCCTTAGCAAGTCAGAGGAGGGATTGAGGGAGAGATCACTTTACATTTGAGTGGTTAGGTAAGTGTTTATGCAGAACAAGGTACAATTTGAGCTGAGGGATAAAAAGAATGTGCACAGAGAGAAACGAAAGAAATGGCTTTTTATCATGGCAAAAAGACACTAACAAAACCTTGGCAATGGGAAAGCAGAAGACAATAAATAAATCAATGTGGCTTACGCACATACTTTCTTTCAAAGAGGCCATGAGTTCTGTTATTTCTTTGAATATTCAGTAACTCTCATGATATCTGACGTGTCAAAGCCAAACAATAAATAAATGTTCCATGTTTTAGGAAAAAATTAAAGGGAGATAAGGAAATAAACAAGGGTAAGGTCTAACTACTTGACATTCTCCCATGGAGCACTTATCCATTTATTTGTTCATCAAATATTCATTTGGTGATGAATTTGTGCCAATTATTATGCATGAAGCTAGATGTTATCACAGGTATTTGAGTGAGGTAATAACATGATCCAATTTTTATTTTAGAAAATCAAATCTAGCAAGTACATGTAGAGTGGTGAAACTAGAGTCAAGGAAACTAGTTAGGAGGTTACAGCTTTAGTCTCAGTGAATTAATATCTTAGTAAGTGGAAGATAGATGAGCATGACAAAAATAGAGCCGCTTCTCAGGAAGTTGATGTGATATATTAAAGGGAAAAGTTTGGAGCACTCATTCTGCACCAGGCACTGTGGTACATAGTCAATTTAAAAGCACAAATAATGTGTGATGAGGTCATGCACTCCGAACACTGTCTTCTGCACCACTCTAGCCAACACTTCTGCCGTTGTAAGTCATAGCAGGAGCAGTCGACTGCTTTGCCTGCATTTTCATCTCCAAGGAGAATATGCTTCCCATGGAAAGGGAGAACAAACAAAAATGATTATGTTAACTAAAGTTCTTCATGTATGTGAAAATTATAAGAAATTAATCATTCTATATGAGTTCAACTTTTAGGGTGCTAAAATAATACTTCCTTTGAAAGTGACTCTAGACTGAGCAATGTTGGAGAATCACACTATCTGAATTATAGAATGACAGAAAGAAGGAAAGGTTCACATAGAACTTTCCCCTGATTGGCTCGTTTCTCACATGGGAAAGAATCTTGTGTTGAATGAAATCCTCTTGCATTGAGT